TATAATTACAAACTTCTGCAAAGAAAACTCACTCGATCCGCGGATTTGCAGAAAGTTTCGAAGAAATTCCGATAGCCTTTGTCGACGACGTAGATCTCAGGAAAATCCACTTTCGGGTAGACATCCACATGTCGTTGTCGATCAACACTTCGCAGCATTTGTGCCCTATGTGACTCCGCCATGAGAAACTGTATGGATACGGTAGCTGGCACAAACTCACATCGATGGACCACGTTTTTGACTGTATTCGCAGTAGAAGATGGGTATCCGACGGTGGATCTCCTCAAGGTGTTGGGAATTTGAGGGGAAGAAGATTTCTTCACATTTTGCAGTGTCGTAGATATTGATGGCTCCCTAAAAACATGGCAATTGACTAAGAAGCCTATATGAGAATTGTTTTTACTTTTAGTTTATTTCCTTGTCCCTATTTTGATTTAGATTTTTTTCAAACAATCATCCAGTTTTATAACTAGGAATTTTTCAGTTTTTCACGCAGATTTCTACGGTTAAATTTATATTCATGAGCCCTTTCTATTTTCTGAGTTATGAGAGCCTCTTGAGCAACTTTGAACATCATATAAGCCTGACGGCTGGTCACCTAAATTCTTAAGTATCAAAGATATAAATGATACAATATTCGTTCATTTCCCAAGCTATGATTTCACACGTAGAATTTCTTACTTCCTTCCAAAATTACTTTTCTGTACGAAAAAAACTTTTTTGGAGTTCAAGAAAACTATGAAAGCTTTGTGTATTCTTCCAAAAATCAATCGCAAACTTTTGATGATGAACACAAGAACCTGATTAAGATAATATTGATCCAACTACGAATAATACAGCCAGTAATTTAGCATTTTTAGCTGTGAATATACAAAAAACATCCTAATTCGGGGAGAAGTTTGAGGGGTCCCTATTATCCAATTAACTGCCCACAAAAGGCTCAACAACGCAGAGAGAGTCTAATTACTTAGTCAAGTCGGCTACTCTCACAAAAACCACTTGTCAAACAAAAATTGCAATTTACACTCCTTATCGAACCCTCGGGTGGCAATACATCAAAGATGATTACCGCCTGGGAGGTAGTGGGAAAAATCAATAAAAAGAACCTAAATATGTCCAAAACAAACCTTAATATGTCCACCATTAAACTCGTATGGATATCGGCAATCGAC